AGGTGCCTGCCACCATGCCCAGCTGATTTTTTTGAATTTTTAATAGAGATGGGGTTTCACCACATTGGCCAGGCTGCTCTTGAACTCCTGACCTTGTGATCCACCCACCTTGGCCTCCCAAAATGCTGGGATTACAGGTTTGAGACACCACACCCAGTGCCCTATGCAAACTCTTAATATCAACTGTTTGAGGAATGACTTGGGAGGTGGCACTCAGAGATCCCAAGTGACACATGAGAAATCCAGAGAGATCATGTTTGTGGAGTCTGGATGGTTGCTTCCATCAATGGGCCTGAACCTTGCAGATACTGTCTCATTATCCTCCAAACAGACTCCGGGTCAGTGATTATTATCTCCCTCTTATTGGTGTAGACTCAGCCAAGGGAAGCCAGATGGTGAGTCAGAATCTTAACCCTCCCTCTCAGATGCAGAGCGCTGCTTTCTCCCCTCCAGTTTGGTACTCTGCTTCCTCTTGTATGCTGTGAGAGGCCTCATTACTCCTCTTCTCTCCTCCAGCCCCTCCAAGCCTAATTCATCACCGTTGGCTTGGGGATCATAGTTTCCAAACCAAGGATTTCTAAACATTGTCTGACAATGCCATTTTTTGGGGGAAGGGGCAGGGTCTTGCTCCGTTGCCCAGGCTGGAGTGCAGCTGTGCAATCAGGGCATACTGCAGACTCGGACTCCTGCGGTCTGGTGATCTTCCCTCCCAGCCTCCTGCTGGGACTACCTGTGTGCATCACCACACCCAGCTCAGTTTTGTATTTTTTGTAGAGATGGGGTTTTGCCATGTTGCCCTGACTGGTCTCGAACTTCTTGGCTCAAGTGATCCACCCTACTTGGCCTCCCAAAGTGCTGGGATTATAGGCATGAGCCACCTCAACTGGTGACATTGTCATTGGTCTTTAAGAGATGATGGTTTAGGCTTTGAAATTGGGGTTGTTTGTGAAAACTGAGAGTGTCTTTTGGTCTCAGATACTTCCTATGGCCATTGGTGTAATTGGAGGGAAGCTCTCACCATATATAATATTTTTCAGGCAGCCAACTAAGAAACTGGGATTCTGGTTCCCTACAGGGTGCAAAATCCTGGGAAAAGGAAGGAAGCCCAGAAGGAGTCTCTGTCCCTCTGCCAGTCAATTCAAATCTCTCTTCTCCCCCTCAAGTCAGCCCCCTGCTTCTGGCTCTTTCTCAGTCTCTCCTGGATTCTCCCCCTCTGGAGGGCCTGAGCTCCCGGCCACCACCAGCCAACACTGCTTTCTGCTTCCTCTGCCTCTCTTCATCTCCCTTTGTCTGGGGTTTCTTTGTCTGGGGTCTCCGTTTGGTTCTGTTTCACAGTTCTCAGCCTCCCCTCCCTTTCTCCCCCACCAGGCTGCTCCCTCCCTCTCTGCGGGGGCCTCAAGGCTTGGTGAGGGGAGCGGGACTTGGTTGCCATGGTCACATCGAAGCCAGCCGCAGCTGGCCCGGGCAGCTGCTCCTGGGCCCGGGGCCCCGGACTCTTGGACAAAGCCAGGCGGCTTTGGCAGCCCCAGACCCGAAACCCCAAAGGCCTGAGACTGGGGGGACTTGGACCTAGGAGAATCCTGAGCTGGAGGTGAGAGGGAGGAAGCCAGAGCTGAACTGGGAGGGCAGAAGTGGGTGCTGGAGCTGGGCCCTCCCCTTGTGGGCAGGGACCAGGCTTCCCGGCTGGAGGTGCGGTGGGAGGAGGAGATCTGCCTAGAGCTCAGCAGGGGGAAGGGAAGGACCGGGAATGGAGTTGGGGGTCACGGTGTGGCAAATGGGCTGAGGGGCTAGGGTGTCCCCAACGGGGGGGCTGTTGTCCAGAAACAGGTTTGATTCTCTCTTTGGGCCTGATGTCCCCATCTGTCCTGCAGGTGCCTCTTCCTTTCTCAGCCTTTTATACTTCTCACCTCCCCAGGTCCCTTAGCTTCACGCTCTGCGCCCCAGTCTCCTTCTCTTTCCTTCGACTTTGTTTCACTGCATCCCCTTCTCTCCCCTTGTCCTTGCTTCTTGTCCCCTTGGTCTGTCTGCCCAGCTCCCAGCCTCCTCAGTTCCCTGCCTTCCTCCCTTAGGCTTTGTTCCCAACACTGTTTCCCTTCTGAGGCCACTTCAGTTCCCTTATCCAGTTCAGCCCTTTTCTTCCCAAACTTCAGTCTCCTCCTCTGAGCCCCTGGGGCTTCCCACCTTTTGCTGTGTGTCCTGTCTCCATCCTCCTTTTCCTCTCTCGGAGCCATCTCCTCTACCTTGGCCTCAGTCCAACTCCTCGGCCTTGGTCTCAGTCCATCTCCTGTCTCTCTGGGAGTTCCCTCACCATCGTCCCCATCTGACCATCAGTCTCCCCTCCCTCCTCTGGTCCCTTGCCCCTTTCTTCCCCATCCCCCAGGCTATCCACAGCTGAGCTCTGTTTCATCTCTCTCCCAAAGTTACATCATCTCCATCTCCTCCTTCACTCCCTGGCCTCAGTTTCCAGTTTGTATTCAGCGGCATCAGGTCTGACTCACACCCAAGGCCCTGTCCACTCTTTCACCCTGCCCCCCACCTGTCACTTCTCACTCCCCCCAGCTGCTGACCCAGCCTGCTCCCCCAGAGGCAGCTGCAGCTCCCGGAAGGGGACTGCGGTTAGTGTATGTATGGGGGCCCATCTGGTCTATCCTCTTGCTCGCTGGTCCTCCTGGGCTTCCCTCCTGTGGCCAGGCAGCCTGCAGGCCTGAAGCTGCCCTCTCCCCTCTCCTATGTGCCTCTCCTCACATTTTTTCAGCTGTTTCCCATCTTCTCCTTCCTGGGCAGGAGGATGCCATTGGCTTGAAGGGGAGGGAAGCCCAGAATGGGAGGGCATGGTAGAGGGTCATTCGGAGGTTCTGGGGGACACAGGGGGCCTCTGGGGTTGGGAGTGATGCAGGAGATATAGGATGGGCTCTGGGGATCACGGATGGGGGATCAGGCCCTCTTGGTCTTTGGTGCCACTCTCCAGGCCCCAGGATGGCTGGGATTTCCCTCTCAGGCCCCTGGGAATCTCGGCTCCGAATCCTGCATTCCAGCTGGCTCCAGCTCCCTTTCGGTTGTCACTTGACTCCACTGGGCCCCAGCCCTGCATCCCTCCCACTCCTCCAGCCTGGAGCTGGGGCGAGGTGGGCATCATCACTAGGAATTTCTCCTGAGGCGGTGAGAAGAGGGGACAAAGGTTTCAGGACTCTCTAGCTCCCTCTGCTTTCCCCAGCGGACCCCTCTGTTTGGCACTGCCATGCCACTTAACCGGGGTCAGCGTGGGCCTGGGGTGTGGAATGTCCCACCAGGGTATGACGAGCTGTAGCTTGCCTGACAGGCCTGTTGGGGCTTTCCCAGAGCACAGCTCCTGGAAGGAGGGGCTGCGGCTGCCAGGTGAGGTGACTTTGGAAGCCTTGGTCCCACCCCTAGCCTGGCCCCACCCCCAGACCAGCGTCTCCCGGACCTAGATTCCCCAGCTGCTGTCTCTGGAGGGGTAGGTGCTCTGGGGGAATCCCTGGGGGCTTGGTGGGACTGGGAGGCAGGAAGAGGTTGCTCTCTGAGTGACCCTGGGGCTGTCTGGTAGCAAGTCCCTCAGCCGTTGGAACGTCCTTGGGCTTCTGAACTAGTGCCCATGTGTGCCAAGGGCCAGCTTCTTCCTGGCAGTGCTTTTGTGTACTTGTCTCGTTGGGACTTTGTGTTTCTTTCTTAGAACTGTTGTCTGGGACTGCAAGCAGGGTATGTTTTTATCTACTGTGAGGGGCATGGGTTGGAGATCTGCAGCGGAGAGGCCATCCTCTGACCATGACATCGCCTAGGTAGTGAGCAGGTGCAGGGGTTTGGAGAGAGGTGAGGGGCTGAGGTAGTGCTGAGTGGGGAGAAAGCACCTCTCACCACAAGCTGTTGTGTCCCTTCCGTCCTCTGCCCAGCAGCTCTCCCATCTGCTTTGCCAACTCAGTCTCACTGTGTCATCTTCTCTGGGTCTCTTGGTCCCCTTCCTTTTTTGACTGTGTCTGATTTTCCCTGTGCCTCCATCCTTCTCCTGCTCCTCTTCTTCCTCCTCCCCACCACCCAACTTGTCCTGGCCTCATTTTTGGCCTCTTCTGGCCAGAGATCAGACCCTCCAGCCCACCAGGGCCAGAGTTGGCTCGGGCTGAGGGAGGCTTGCTGTGAGGAGGACTCCTGACTCCCTTCCCCTCTCCACGCCATTGGAAGCCCAGGGGAATCAGAGCCTGGGAGCCTGGACCCCTGGGTCCCGGAGAAGGCCCTGCAGAGAGAGGAACTGGGAGGAGAGGGGAGAGAGGAAGGGGTTAGAAGAGAGTGGGCCCGCCATCAGACTCTGGGACCTTCCAGGTTGGGCCGTAGGGGCGGGAGCGCACAGGCTGCTGGAGAGGAGCAAAGGTTGGTGGAGTAAGAGCGCTCTGGGGCCTGGCTGGACAGGTGATCCCTGAGCCCGGCTCCCTTCTCCGGGCGAACTCCCGCAGCTGGGCTGGGCCGAGCCTGTGGGAACCTGCTCCTAACTCCTTGCCCTGGGGCTGCTCCCCTTCGCCTCTCCCAACAGGAACCGAGCCCAGAAGTAGGAGGGGCGTCTTCCCCTCGTGGGCCCAGAGTCGGCCAGCAGCCGGCCCCCTGGGGCGCCAGTTTTGGAGGTTCTCGTTTGGGGAGGCTGGCGGCTGGGCTGCCTGAGAGCGCCCGGGCGGGCTCGGCGGGCGGGTTACCTGGGGGAGGCCGGGCGCGGGCGCGGGCGCGGGAGCGCGGGGTGGGCGTGGCGGGCGCGGGGCCAGGAGTGCGGCGCCGGGCGTGGGAGCCACCGGGACGACTGGGTCCGGGAGGGGGAAGGGAGGGCGGCGAGCCCGAACGCGCGGCGAGAAGGCCGAAGGGAGGGAGCTGGGCGAGGAGCGGGCGGAGGAAGGGAGGGAGCCGAGGCGAGGGGGAGGCGGTGCCTGGGCCCGAGCCGCCCCAGCCCTGGCTCCTCTCCCCGGAACAGGCCCCCGACAGCTGCTCGCAGGAGCCGCCTCCCGACACCCGAGCCCCGCCGGCGCCTCCCGCTCCCGGCTCCCGGCTCCTGGCTCCCTCCGCCTCCCCCGCCTCTCGCCCCGCCGCCTAGGAGGCCCAGCTTCGGGGTCGGACGCCTGGGTCTGCCGGGAAGAGAGATGAAAGGTAGGGAGAGCGGCGGGCGGACCCCGCGGGCGGTGGCCCGGGGCTCTCGGGGTGGGGGTCGCGCGGTGGTGGCTGCAGGGCGAGGGGCGGGGGAGGCAGGGTCCCGGGCCGTGCTTGCTCGCCCAGCTCTTCCAAGCCTCCCTGCCCGCCTCCCCGATGCTTGGCTTTCAGTCTGAAAACTGGAGGCGGGGGCTGGGGGAGGTGAAGCCCCTGACCTCCCAGCATTGAGGGAAGTCCCCCTTCACTCAGTGTGGAGGCACTGAGCCCCGGGAGGAGGTGCTCCCGTGCGGCCCCACTGAGTCAGCTCATCTGCCCCCTGGAGAGCTGGCCCTGCCCTCCACCTGGCCAGTCCCCGAGGGCATCTACTAACTGCTAAGCCTCCACTCAGCCAAGTCCCGGTTGGAGCCTTATCACAGTCCAGCAGAAAGCGGGACTGACACTCTAACCCACCAGTGACACCGCTCTTCCCAGCTGGATGGTCAGTTGGCTCTGCCATGAGAGAATGTCACTGTCAGTGAGCGCCAGCCTCAGGGTCCCACCCCCCACGCCTGGCTTCCTGCTGGACATTTCTTCCCAGCACTTCCAGCAGCCAGAGGCTGGTGTCCAAGCCCCCTGGCCGTTGCTGAGGGCCTGTAGGTGTGTGCAAGATTGAGTGGTGTGGTGGAGAAGGTGAAAGGAGAGGGACTGGAAAGGCAGGGAAAGGCTGTTGTCCTTATTGCCACTCTTCCCAACCAGCACCCACCTGTTCCCCACCTCCCCTCCACGACCCTCTGGCTTGGTCACCCATGTGTGTTAGAGGCTGGTCCCCAGTTCTCTGCGGATCCTGTGCCCAAGGACTTGGGCGTGTGGTCTCATGCTGTCTTCTGGTCACAGAGCATGTGGTGTCTGTCATTTCATGTTCACAGGTGTCTGAAGGTGGCTATTCACTGAACGATGGGGTTGGACTTGAAGGAATGCCAAGGTGTGGACGGGCTGATGTGTGCATGAGCTTTTGTGTTTGCTGGGTCTCTGGAACTCTGTGAGGGTTGTCAGAGATACTGAGAGGGGGGTGTGTGCATGCCACATTTAGCCTGGCTGTTTAGAGCCAGCTCAGTAAGTTTGTGTGTCTCACCGTGTGTGTGTGTGTGTGTGTGTGTGTGTGTGTGTGTGTGTGTGTGTGTTGTCTGAGTGGGACACGGGTTGGGAGAGGAGCATGAAGGGCTTGAGGCAGGGTGGGTGGCCTGGCCCCTGGTTTGTCTTGGTTGTAATGGGGTGGGAGGGGGTGGGATTGGGGAAGGTCTTCTGGGCCTGTCCTCTCTTGCCCTTTGTGTGTCTGACTGTGGGCTGAAGAACCAGTGGAGAGAGAGGAGGTGACTGGGGGTGTTAGAGAATGGAGAGCCCAGATGTCTCTGTGCTTCTCTGTGCTCCTCTGCTTGGCTTTGTGCCCTGTGTTTCTGAGCCTGCTCTATTTACCTCTTGCATTGTGGCTCTCGCTCTGTCTCCCAATGCCGCCTATCCTCTGCCTGCCTTGTATCTCTGCCCCAGGCTCCTCTAGGCTCTGAGTGGCTCCGATGACTCATCTGGGATAGGCAAGAAGGTTACTCTGGGGAACAAGAGCCCCGCTGTTCCCGAGAGAGGTGGGGGTGGAGAGTGGCACCCTGGAATTCCGAGCCAGTCTCCTGGGACTCTGGGGGCCTGCTCCCTGGTGCTGGACCCTAAGGGACCAGGCGTGATGCCTTCTGGTTCTAGCCTCTAGCAACTGAGTGCCCCCCACAACTCAGTCATCCCCCTCAGCTGCTGCTTCAGAGCTCTGGGGTCTCAGCTGCCTCTTACATTCCTGCCCTAGTGCATTGTGGGAGCAGCTGGAGGAGGACAAAGGGATGGGGGAGTATCCCCCCACTCCTCCTACCTCCTGGGGTGACCTGCCTTCCAGGTCTTTAGACCCGCCCTCATCTCCAAGGCAACTCAGCCTTTCCTCAGTCCCTCAGAGGCAGCCACCTTCTGAAAGTGGGAACTGGGGGGACGGGATGTCTAGGTCTCAGGAACGAATAGCAGGAGTAACTGGGCCCAGGATGCCCTGGACCTGATAAGAGGTGGCAGTAGAGCCCCTAAGGACTCTAGGACCTGGAGACTTCAGTACAGGGCTCTGGGGCCAGTACAGGTTAGAATAGCTTTTCCTGCAGCGGGGCAGGGGAGAGTAGGTACTTTCTAAGTTTGTAAGGAGATGCCATTTAGAATGGTTTTAGACGGGATAAGCTTCCTGGGCCTAAGGAACAGAGTAGGGATTCTCAAACTTTAATGGGCACAGATCACCTGGGGATTGTGTTAAAATGTAGATAAATGTATTTATGTTACAGAATTTAGAAAAATAGTATAATCTACCTGTCTTTTCTCTTTTTATTTGCTTTTCTTTTGCCCCATTCATGTTAACTCTTGTTACATTGTTATATTCTATTATAGATTCTCTCTCTCTAAGCATACAAACAGGTATATATACAAACATGGTGCTTGTTTATTCTATTTTTGAAAGGGGCTGGGCGAGGTGGCTCATGCCTGTAATCCCAGCACTTTGGGAGGCTGAGGCGGGCAGATCATCTGAGGTCAGGAGTTTGAGACCAAAAACCCAGCTCTACTAAAAGTACAAAAATTAGCCGGGCATGGTGGTAGGTGCCTGTAATCCCAGCTACTCAGGAGGCTGAGGCAGGAGAATCACTTGATCGTGGGAGGCGGAGGTTGTAGTGAGCCAAGATCACGCCACTGCATTTCAGCCTGGGAGACAAGAGTAAGACTCTGTCTCAAAAAAATAAAAATAAAAATAAATAAAGGTGGGATAATTTTTTAGACTTCTGTAGCTTGCTTTTTATGTTCAACAGAGGCATGGGCTGGGCGCGGTGGCTCATGCCTGTAATCCCAGCACTTTGGGAAGCCAAGGCAGGTGGATCAAGGTCAGGAGCTCAAGACCAGCCTGGCCAACATGGTGAAACCCCGTCTCTACTAAAAATACAAAAATTAGCTGGGCATGGTGGCGCGTGCTTGTAGTCCCAGCTACTCCAGAGGCTGAGGCAGGAGAATCGCTTAAACCTGAGAGGCAGAGTTTGCAGTGAGCTGAGATCGTGCCATTGCACTCCAGCCTGGGCGACAGAGCAAGACTCTGTCTTGGAAAACAAACAAACAAACAAACAAACAAAGAAACAAACAACTGCACAAGGAAATTACACGGTTAGGAATTTATTGCCTCTTTGTTAGTTTTCATAGCTTCGTAGTAGTCCATAAACTTATTTTTTTTTAAAAATTCCAGACTGTCCCCTGTGGGCATTCACATATCTTGCAGATTTATGTCCTTACAAAAGGTTCCATAACAAACATCTTTGAACATATCTTCTTTTTTTTCTTTCTTTTTAATTTTTCATTTTATTTGTTTATTTATTTTGAGATGGAGTTTTGCTCTTCTTGCCCAGGCTGGAGTGCAATCGTGCAATCTCGGCTCATTTCAACCTCTGCCTTCTGGGTTCAAGTGATTTTCCTACCTCATCCTCCCGAGTAGCTGGAATTACAGGCATGCACCACCATGCCTGGCTAATTTTTTTGTATTTTTAGTAGAGACAGGGTTTCTCCATGTTGGTCAGGCTGGTCTTGAACTTCTACCTCAGGTGATCTGCCTACCTCAGCCTTCCAAAATGCTGGGATTACAGGCATGAGCCACTGTGCCTGGCCATTTTTTACTTTTTTAAAGAGATGGGGTCTCACTATGTTGACCAGGCTGGTCTTTAACTCCTGGCCTCAAGTGATCCTTCCATCTTGGCCTCCCAAAGTGCTGGGGTTACAGGCATGAGCCACCAGACCCAGCCCTGCACATATGTTCTTACTTCTTGGTGCTTCTCTCACCCCATTTGGGTAGATCATTAGGAGAGGGAATGCTGGGATAAAGAGGATGTGCATTTTTAATCGTAATAGACATTGCTAGATCACTTTCCAAATAGAGGATAACACTACGTTTCTACCATTGAGCATGGTGCCTCCCTTTTCATCACTCTCCACCACTTGTATATGTTACAGCCTTAAAAAATATCTTGTCAGTCTGCTTGGTATTTCCCTGATGCTCGTGAATTTGATCATTAAAAACAAAATGTTTGATGGCAATTTGGCTTTGCTTTTCTATGAAATGACTATTCGCATTCTTTGGCTGTTTCTTTGTTGGGTTGCTTATATATTTTTTCTTGTCAGTTCCTAAGGGGCCTTGGTTTATTGTACTTATTAAACCTTTTCCTGCTGTGTGTGTTATAAACATCTTTCGAACACTTGCTGTTTGTTCTAGCCATTGTTTGTGGGGGTATTTTGCCTGTTTTTGATTGGAGAAATGGGGCTTTAGGAAGTTATCTAACTGATTTCTGCCCCAGTTCCTTCATGTGTTAAATATGGAGAGTAATAGTATCTACCTCATGAAGCGACTGTGAAGATAAAATTATGGATTCTGTTTCAGGGTTTAGGCCAGGGTCTGGCACAGGGGAAGCATTCTAAAAATACAGATGATGCTGTTAAACAATGGCTGTTGTCATTTTACTGTTATTATCCCCAAAGTGGCCCATTCTGTCTATTGCTGTCAGCTATGACTCAATCCCTGATTAACTTACCCACTACCTGTTTTATCCCCTGCAGAGATGCTGCCCCCACCCCCTTAGGCCTGCGGGATCAGAAGCTATGGGGCCAGGGGCCCTCTTATCTTTACTGCTGCTGCTCTTGGTGGCAACTGGAGATGCTGACATGAAGGGACATTTTGATCCTGGTGAGGAGACTGAATCATGGGTCCCTGAGGGACAGGGCTTGGGAGGTAGAGAGTTGGGGGCCTTGACCTGTCACATGCCTGTTTTTTACTCAGCCAAGTGCCGCTATGCCCTGGGCATGCAGGACCGGACCATCCCAGACAGTGACATCTCTGCTTCCAGCTCCTGGTCAGACTCCACCGCTGCCCGCCACAGCAGGTACTTGGCACACCTGGCACAGCTGCAGCTACCTGAGGGGAGCTCATGGGACCTCTACTTCCCCTCCAACCCCTCTGCCCATGCCAATGAAACCCCTGCAGTCTGAGGGGCAAATGAAGTGGGGTTTAAGTTCTGGAGACAGAGGCAGACCTGGGGCCAGATGTTCTCTGTGCCCCCCTTCACCCTTCAGGTTGGAGAGCAGTGACGGGGATGGGGCGTGGTGCCCCGCAGGGTCGGTGTTTCCCAAGGAGGAGGAGTACTTGCAGGTGGATCTACAACGACTGCACCTGGTGGCTCTGGTGGGCACCCAGGGACGGCATGCAGGGGGCCTGGGCAAAGAGTTCTCCCGGAGCTACCGGCTGCGTTACTCCCGGGATGGTCGCCGCTGGATGGACTGGAAGGACCGCTGGGGTCAGGAGGTAAGGCTGGCATGGGCAGCACCCCGAGGAGGTTGTCTCTCCTCACTTCCAGCTGTACTTTAAACACCACCACTGAAGACTCTCCAGTATATTATCTCCAGCCCAAGCCTCTTACCTGACCTCCAAACAGTATTGTAAACCTGGCCACCTTTTGGACTTCTCCACCTAGATGTCCATTTTTTTTTAACAGATGGGATCTTGCTATGTTGCCCAGACTATTCTTCAATTCCTGGGCTCAGTGATCCTCTCACCTTAGCCTCCCAAAGTGCTGGGATTACAAGCACTTGTAGCCAGCCACTTAGATGTCTAATAGGCATCTTAAACATACCTTTAACTTCCCAAGCTGAATTTGATTCCCATTCACACCCTAACCCTGCTCTTCCCCTGGCATTCTCCAGCTCAGGAAGTGGTAACACCATTACCTGGTTGCCCAGCTATATGCTTAGTTGATGTCCTTGGTTCCTCTTTTTCTCTCACCTCCTTCCAAAGCAGCAGCCCAGTCTGTTCTACCTCCATGGTGTTCCTGAGTCCAGTCACTCCTCATCACCCCACCTCTACTGCCCTAGGCCACCTGCCCGCCATCTCCAGCTTAGATGAGTGCAGTAGATGCCAGATGGGCATCTACTCCCTGCTCCTGCCCTTTTCTGCCTGGAGTCAAATCTCCACCTGGGGGCTGCATCCGGTGGACCTTAGAGCATGTAAATCAGATACATCACCCCTAGCTTACATGCCTGTCCTGGCTTTCCATGCTGCCAGAACAAAAGCTGAGCCCATAGCTGGGTGCAGAGTGCTCAGCCCGACCTGGTTTCCACCTGCCTCGCTTGCTCCGTGTGCCTCCTTGGCCACACTGCCTTTCTTCTTGTTGCTGGAACAAGCCAGGGCTCATTCTCACAGCTTCCGGACATTTTCTGTTTTCTCTGTGCCTGCAAAGCTCCTCCCCCAGATAACCACAGGCTCTCCCTCCCTCCATTCAGTTCCCTGCCAGGTGTCACCTCCTCAGAGAGCCTTTGCGGGCCATCCACCTCACCACTCTGTCCATACACCCTGCCTCCTGTTCTTCACAGCATTTCCCCTGCTGGAATCTCAGTCCTGCAAGGGCAGGGACTGATGTTCACCACTGAGAATGTGCCTGGCACAGAGCAGGCACTCAGCCAACTTCTGCTGAATGGATAGAGGGAATGGGCTAAAGTGAAGGGGAATCTGAGGCAGGGGTGCAGCGCTGGGAGAATTGGGGAGAATTTGGGCACAGTGGGATGACAGGCTTGGAGACAAATGGATGGAGCCAGGCAAGGAGAAGAGGGCAGCTGAGCCTGGAGTCTGAGGATCGACCATCAGAGCCGCGAGAGGGTCAGAGGTCTCAGCTGCAGACCTTTGTTCTCACCCATGCCTGGTTGCACCCCACAGTTCTGTGTGCTTGGCACCACCCTTCATGGGTCTCCAAGTGGCCACTGTGGGCTCAGCCAGGGAGCAGCTAGTGGCTGGGAAGTTAGATCTGACCTGGACCCTATCCCACCCACCCCGTTTCCTGGCCCACAGGTGATCTCAGGCAATGAGGACCCTGAGAGAGTGGTGCTGAAGGACCTTGGGCCCCCCATGGTTGCCCGACTGGTTCGCTTCTACCCCCGGGCTGACCGGGTCATGAGTGTCTGTCTGCGGGTGGAGCTTTATGGCTGCCTCTGGAGGGGTGAGTGGCTCAGCTCCCTGAGAATCTGTTTCCTGTGTGGGGGACTGGATGGTGGGAGTGTGGAGAATGGGCATCCAGGATCCCCTTTCTCTTGCTGGGAAGCTGTCACTCCAGGGAGGGGGCTGGCCAGCATTATCTCCTCTGTGCCAGTGAGCCAGTGGAGAGATACTAGAGGGGATCTGAAACCTGCCCAGGCCTGATGCAGGGATGGGGACAGCTCCTTCATGCCTCTGACCCTCATCTTCTCACCCTGACCCAGATGGACTCCTGTCTTACACCGCCCCTGTGGGGCAGACAATGTACTTATCTGAGGCCGTGTACCTCAACGACTCCACCTACGATGGACATACCGTGGGCGGGTGAGAAAGGCCCCTGCAAGACGTGGAGTTTGGGATGGGAGGGAGGACTGTGTGTGTGTGTGCGCGTGTGCGTGTGTATGTAGTGGGGCTGCTAAGTAGGCTGAGGAATGAGATGGAAGAACTGAGAAGAGGGATGGGTTAGGTGAGGCCTCAAAGGGTGGGACTAGGGTGACCACTAGCCCATGTGACAGTGAATGAAAAAGGCACCCCTTTGCTAACACACATTGTTGGAAATTGCCGCAATAAATATGCACATCATAGATTGAAATGGTGTCCCTTAGAGGTGGTGCCTTTGTGCTGGATGTGACCTGCAGAGTACCTGTGATAGTGCTGGGGCAGGGGTGGATAGACGAGAAGGGCCAGCTGCATGAGCATGGGGTGGGGTGGGAGTGGGATGGGTGGATGGGAGCTGGGCTGGCCAGGCCACTGTGCATGGGGGTGGGGAGGGCGCAGAGTGCTGGATGTCAAGACCCTCTTCCCTTCCAACCTCCTCTTCCACAGACTGCAGTATGGGGGTCTGGGCCAGCTGGCAGATGGTGTGGTGGGGCTGGATGACTTTAGGAAGAGTCAGGAATTACGGGTCTGGCCAGGTTATGACTATGTGGGATGGAGCAACCACAGCTTCCCCAATGGCTATGTGGAGATGGAGTTTGAGTTTGACCGGCTGAGGGCCTTCCAAGCCATGCAGGTGAGTGAGTCCGGCTCTCAAGGAGGGCTCTGAAGCCATGGCGGGTGCTGCTGGGGTGCCCCCAGCTTTCTCCTAGCCTTGACCCTGTGCCCTGTTCCCTTCCCCCCAGGTCCACTGTAACAACATGCACACGCTGGGAGCCCGCCTGCCTGGCGGGGTGGAATGCCGCTTCCGGCGGGGCCCTGCCATGGCCTGGGAGGGGGAGCCCATGCGCCACAACCTGGGGGGCAACCTGGGGGACCCCAGAGCCCGGGCTGTCTCAGTGCCCCTGGGCGGCCGTGTGGCTCGCTTTCTGCAGTGCCGCTTCCTCTTTGCCGGGCCCTGGTTACTCTTCAGTGAAATTTCTTTCATCTCTGGTAAGCCCTGGAGTAGCCCCGTCCCAAGCCCCTGAGATTGACAACTGATTTCATTCTTAACCCTCCAGTGCCCCCAAAATATTCATTGCTCGCATAATATTTACCCATCATCTACAATGCTTCTCAATTAGGGATGCCCCAAATAGCTTGTGCCCCTTTCTGCCTCTTGCTCTCTGCATATCTGTCTTTCCTTTGTAAGCCCCTCACCCATGACTGTTACTGAGCCAGTGTGATAATACTGGTTGTTGAAATATTGAAATACTTCTGTATTACTTGAGAAATAGCCTCTTCTCTAAGCCTCCAGATACCCACCCTCCAGCAACTATAGGGTTAACACCCACCACAGCTGGGGACTTCCAGCACCCTGCTCCCCCAGCTGCCACTGGTCAGTGCTTGCCTATTGAGAATCAAATTTGTGAAGTGGACCACATTAAAAAAAAAAAGAATCACCCCTGCTTCTGCTCCTTTGCACAGCAATCCACTGCCTCCCTTGGCTTTCCCCTCATGTACCTCCCTGCTTTCTTCTGTTCCTTCTCCCAGATGTGGTGAACAATTCCTCTCCAGCACTGGGAGGCACCTTCCCGCCAGCCCCCTGGTGGCCACCTGGCCCACCTCCCACCAACTTCAGCAGCTTGGGTGAGCAGCCTTAGGTGGGAGTGTGGACCCTCTGCACCCTTCTCCCTGGGCCTCCCCCTCGGCTGGGGTGGGAGCCCCTTGTGGTGCTGACCCTGCTGCCTCCTCCAGAGCTGGAGCCCAGGGGCCAGCAGCCCGTGGCCAAGGCGGAGGGGAGCCCGACCGCCATCCTCATCGGCTGCCTGGTGGCCATCATCCTGCTGCTCTTGCTCATCATTGCCCTCATGCTCTGGCGGCTGCACTGGCGCAGGCTCCTTAGCAAGGTGGGCACAGCCGCAGCATGCAGGGTGGCGGGGGGAGGCCAGGCCCCAGCATGAGCCAGGGTCCAGTGGGGCCTGCAGAGCACAGCCCACTAGCATCCCAAGAGGAAGGCTTAGTAAAGAGACCACTTACACCATGTCGAAGGGGGTGTGGGGCTCACAAAGAGGGCTGCTCCCCAGCCCTGGGCCTGCTAAGTGGAGAGGAGCTGGCAAATACCAGGACCCGGAGGAGAGGGTCTGTAGGGAGGGTACCTTGACAGGGGCAGTAGACTTTGGTTCTGGGATGCAGCTGGCCCTCGTCTACCCCTCAGGGAGGGCCTGGGAGAATGGATACCCTGACCTCACTTTCTGCCCCAAACTCCTGCTGGGCTCCTCTCTGG